TCGAAGATAAGGATGTCATATGATTTATTAATTAATTTTAATTCAGCCATATTATCAGTAGAACATTTCTCAGTCTTTTTACAGTTCTCTCTGTGTGTAGATAATCTTCTCCTGTGCTCAAAAGCTCACTAGCAGTTCTTCTTGCAAAGTGCTTCTAGAAGCTCCAGTCCACACCTCTCAGCTCTTCAAGCATCTTGTGGTGTGAACTCTGTGATTGTGGCCATACAATAAAGCAAAAGGCAAAGATGGTTTTATCTCCATCAGGATAAGTGATTTGAATGCTGCTTAATAAATTTTGTCATTTGATGGGGGGAGGAACAGCTGAATCACATGCCTTACGGGAAAACAGGAGAGACCAAGGGGAAAAAAGATGAGCCAAAAATCACACCATTATTTTGTGCTAGCTTAATGTCTGCTTGTTCTGCCCAAAGGTAAAGACATAGTTATCAGCACCATTTATCAGGTACACCGTTTTAGTATAAACTTGTTTAAAAAAGGGTAGAGCCCCTTTGTCATCTTAATTAGACAGTAACCCATTGATTCCAAGCGGGCCTTCATTTTCTAATTATTTAGTACATAATGTCATTAAATATCTTTGAGTGGACAGGATTGCTCTAAAAGCTTTAGTTCCAGAGCTCTAATATTAGGCTTTTGGCATTCGTCCCTGTGTGTGAAAAGCAGTCAGTTTGTTTACCAGGAATTTAGATTCCCATTACTGGGGGAATTAGCAGTGAGCTATTAGTCTGATTCAAGCACTTAACAATTGCTGATCATCTCCTCCTAGCTTGGGGATAATGGAGGTGATCAGCTGTAAATGGAAAGTATGTGGGGCTATTTTCATGAAGGCACTTGGAGAAAGTGCAGCATCCCCTGACCTCTGCTAACCCTGGGGTTTGCAAGAAACCCAAACACCAAGTCACTTCCTGGAGGAGAGCTAATCACCTATCAGAAGAGCTTCCATTAGAGACTAACCAAGCTCAGCCTCAACCGACCCTCCCTCAAATGAAGAAAGGTTCGGCCACAAAATCCCCGGGGTAGAAGTGATTAGCCTCTGATCGTATTTACCGGGATCTGTCTCGACGGGGGAAGCAGCTGTGGAATAGCTGCGGGCTGTGATTCCATAGCAGCGCTGAGCGATCCCGTGGAGCTCAGCAGTGCTGGTTGGCTTCCTCTTTCTCCACTGTTGTTCCCAAAAGCTTTGTCTGGTTCATGGACACCTCAAAGATTACTTTGGCAACTCTCCTTTTTACTCCCGTGTCAAGCTGTCTACCATTTTGGCAAATAGTGATGCGATTTTTAGGATGTATTGAAAAAGACACTTTCATTCTATACAGATGCTGAACCTGTAGTGTTTTCCTGTCTACTGAAAGTTACCTTTTATTGTCAACAGATTTGGAGAGGTGTGCCAGGGATCTGTAGCCAGGAATCAGTTTGAAGCAAGGCTTGGCTTTTCCTCTTCTGCAACAACACATTGTTCCCCCTTTCAAAAGTAAAACTGCAGCCGCTTGACTCTTACTGAAACACAGGCACTCCTTGAAGGCAGTGGGAATGATTTTAATGAGGCAAGGACACCATAACTTTGGACTTCCAAATTCAAGGCTTATCTCTGTCTTCACCTTGCTTGTGACCTCGGGCAAGAAATGTGCGTTGCTTCTCTCACTTGTCACAACAATACAGTTGCCTGAGCTCCCTGCTAGAGGATTATATGGATGCCCTTTGTAAATGCTACATTAGACTGTGTTAAGGAATCTAAAGCTCTACCAGAGTTCTAGAAGCAACATCTGAAGTACCTGACAGGATACCGTTTGTAAAAGTTGTTAAGATTGCTTTGTAAGAGATTCTAACTCTGTTCTTTAAATTTCTTTCCCATAGAGCCACCAGCAGTGGAGACAAGGAGTGTAGCTTCTATTAAATGCAAAGGAAGGCAGGAGACTTCTAGAGTTGCAAGATAAATTTTATTAGTGAGACTTCACATTATTTTACTCTTTAAAAAATAATATCTACATTACAACAATTAGAGGGTTCCCTTTTCATATATGGTTGCTGAGAGCTCAATATTAAGACTGTCTGGATAGAGAATCTTTATTGGATTATTTTTGTATTTTGTGGATTATATTTTGTGAGACCACATGTGCTCACAGGATGCTGTATTCCACTTTCTGGGAACAGAAGCTGAGGGGGGGTTGTAAACTGCCCTCTTGTGTGGTCAGTAAGAACTGGGTTTAGGTAACTGTGCCAGTCTTGGAACATTGGTGGTGCTAACAGAATTGACTTGATACTGATACTGGCATGATATTTCTAGTAGCAGTTATACTTATGCATGCATAAATGCTGTGTAGTTGAAAAACTGTGATATTTGGAGATCAGGTAGTCAGAAAAGTCTAAGAGAAAATGGGTTTGTACTCCCAGCAGTGAGAGTACCTGTGAATGCAAGCGTAGTTAGAGGTGAATTTCGCTTGCAGTTATTGATGAACAAGCCTAAGAGGCAGCTGTGATTATAAACATGCATGTGAAAGGGATGCAGGACACTTGGAAAAAAACCAAACTGACGCTTTTTGCTTTAATTTCAGTCCAGAGCAGGATTTGTCTCAGGATTTGTCAAGTATTTTCCTGTGGTGTAATCCAGGACATGACAGGAGACTGCAATTGCCATCAATAACCTTCTTAGCAGGGCTAAAGGGCTAGAGGTCCACAGTGCCCTAAACATGAACAACAAAATGCTCATTCCTTTTTCACCACCAACCTGTCTTAGAGCACTGAAGCTGGGAAAGAGGAAAGATCCCAGTGCAGATGAGTAGATGGTCAATGCAGTACATTGTGTACCAGTGTGTGTGGTACAGACAGCTCAGGGAAATCTACTCCATTATACTCACAAATATTCTCTCTGATGTGTGGAATACTGCAAAGAACAACATTTTCTTCTTCACTGTTGCTCTCCATTAAATTCTGAGATGACAGATGCTATTACATTACAGTCAGGAGTCTTGACACATTTCTAGTCCCACCACATGGAGGATGGTCTAATGTAGATACTATATTGTTGTTACATGGACTCTGTTTTTATTAAACAATGGTAGCAAACATTCTAGTGCTGTCTCTTGCTCCAAATAGCCATATTTCAGTAGGTAATGAGAAATACCAGCATTAGTACTCCTGTTTTTTAAAAAGACATGGTATTTGTTCCTACTGCACGGAAATAACATATTGCTTCTCTGTGTGACAGAGGAGATCATTCTGCTCCATGCAGTGATTTCCTTGTTCTACCTACCCAGGAAGTAAACAGGAGAGTAGAAGTGGAAATGGAAATATTACCCCTGCAGAAGGATAATTACTCTGATACACGTGACAGTGTAAGATTCTGTAATAACGTGTCTGACAGTGACTGGGAACCTAGCTGGTGCTTCCCTGGCAACAGATAAAGCACAGGATAAAAAGAATACTCACCTGTTCTGCCTCTGTTCAGGACTGTAATCTTGTTTGGGTGTGTATAGCACTGTTCAGGCCTGTTCCCTCTCAGGATGAGCAATGGGCACTATACATGTGCATGGAGGAGCTGTTTTGAGCTGAGTTTCTGGCTATTCAAAAGTGTAGGCTGGCTGATGAGGCAACTCTTGCACACAATTGATTGCAGACTGTTAACCTATGCTTAGAAATCAATATTCACTTAACACCACATTTTAACAGGCAAACGCAGTACAAACTAACAGCAGTTACACAGTGCACACATTTACACTCGGAATAAACAGGTCATGAAGCAGCACTTGGCAGAGGAGCAGGGGATGGATGGGGCAAGCAACTGGAAGGGGCAATGGCAACTTGAGTATGTGGAGAGGTACAAGGAGATTTTTGCAACTGAGTGTCCCAGGGGTTTTGTGGTAAATACATCTTCAATGAGCTATATGCATTCCCTAAGGGTTACTGAGAAGGTTCGTCCTGAGGCCAGGCAAGATCATCTTTTGCTGGGTAAAACTAAATTTACTGGAGTTGAGCACAGAAGTCCATCTTGAACAACAAAACCCAAGTGTGTTGCAAGCTGTGATAATGGATTATATATATGTTGCAAGGGGCAAAACAGAATGGAGCAAGAATATAAACGCTAATATCGTGTCCTTGATCTGGAATGGTATTTTTCATATACTTAAAAAATGGATTTGAAAAGGGAACTGAAAGTAATCCAGAAATGGTGTTTACCAGGGACTTTATGTGTCTGTTTATTGAGCTTTCTTCGCAACCCACCCTGGAGTACAGACTCCTAATCTTTATGATACGCTTATCCTTCACAGACTTGAGAAGCAGATCCACACAAACCTCATGAAGTTCAACAAGTCCAAGTGCAAGATGCCACACCTGGTTTGGGACAGCCCTCAATATCAACACAGAGTGGGGGATGAATGGATTGAGAGCAGCCCTGCAGAAAAGGACTTGGGGATATGGGTAGATGGAAAATTGGACACGAGTAGGTAACGGCACTTGCAGCCCAGAAAACCATCTTGCAGCCTGGGCTGCATAAAAAGCAACATGGCCAGCAGGCTGAGAGGTGATTCTTCTCCTCCAGCCCACACCACCTCCCCACCTGGAGTTCAGCATCCAGCTCTGGGGTGCCCAGTACGTGACAGACATGGACCTGTTCAAGCAGGCCCAGAGGAGGCCATGAAAAGGAGGGGGCTGGAACACCTCTTCTATGAGGAAAGGCTGAGACAGTAGACTTGGTTTGGCCTGGAGAGAAGAAGGCTCTGTGGAGACCCTGTTGTAGGTCTTCTTTCAATATATAAAGGAGGATGATAAGGGCAGATACACCAGGGCCTGTGGTGACAGGACATGGGGCAATGGTTTTAAACTAAAAGAACGTATGTTTCGATTACATATTAGGAAAAACTTCTTCCCTGTGAGGGTGGTGAGGCCCTGGCACAGGTTGCCCAGAGAAGCTGTGGCTGCCCCATCCCTGGAAGTGTTCAAGGCCAGGTTGGATGGGGCTTGGAGCAACCTGGGCTACTGGAAGGTGTCCCTGCCCATGGCAGGGGTGGAACAAGATCGTCTTTAAGGTCCCTTCCAACAGAAACCATTCAGTGACTGCAGGCCCAAGGAGGAGCTCCAGAAGGTGGGGTGGGCAGACATCCTGTGTCAGGTCATCCCTGCAGTCAGAAACCAAACCCTGCACAAGTTCTGACAGAACTCAGACCTTTGTTTTAAACTGCTGACATGGAACATGAGCCTGGCTGTTACTCACTATGCATACATGGCAGAAGCAATGGTGAGAACCACATCTGCAGAGCTCAGTGAGAACTGACACGGGGAAAGTGGGGTGCAAGTAGGTTGGGAGGTTTCCAGAGACTGTTATTCTGGGTTAAGGCTGTTCCATTCCTCTTGTCTGAAAGCCTTCTGTTTCCCAAAGGTAAATCTGTAGTGGGACGTGCCTGGATATGGAATAAGATTAATAATATGGGGAGGAAAGATTCCATTTATGCCAAGTTAATGTTCAGCAACAGGGGCAGGAACAGAGCCAGAGAAGGCCAAGAAGTAGCAGCTCCAGAATGCTCAGAGGAGGCCAAAGGCATGCTGCTGTGTTCAGAGCTGTCTTGCTGCATCTTCCCTTCAGCCACCTAGGAAATGAAAAGGAGGGATGAGTCCCAGTTAGACACATTTATGCTCAAACTTCTGGCTGCAGAGCCTCCAGTTCTGAGCCCTAATGTGAGACCATTGAAACTCCTGTGGCCAGGCATGTGGCTTCCTATTTCTGCTTGTCTGTGAAAGGAACAGCTTAAGGTAGAGTGGTTCAGTGTTCCACATGCACGTGGCATCCCTAGCTTTGATGTCCAAAGTCACACATTTCCAGATCCAAAGTTTTTCCACTACTGTCTCTAGGCTACTTGACTCACTGCTTTGTGAAGGCAACAAAGCAATGCATACCTGGGACATTTCTGAAGCAAGAGATGTGCTGGCACTGCCTCCTTGGAAGCTTAGGGAAGATGAATAAGGTAAGTCTTCCTGTCTTTCTAGAGCTGTCTGCTTCAGGTGCATTTGAGACCAAATGGCATTTTCTGCAAACAGAAGTAAAGCAAGAGTCTTATTGTGCTTTTCTTGTGCAGTCTTGGAGTCTAGTGAACAGAAATCTAGGGAAGCTATTTTAGGAAATGCACTCACAGGCTGTGTGGCCTTGATTTAGAAAATATATATTCTCTGTTCAGTGAATGGCCTGCCAGTTTGTGGGTTTCCTTGTGAGGTTGAGCAGACTGCAAAAATGTCTGCACTGTACTTGAGGACTTTTGGGTCCTTCTGTGACTTTCCCACCTGTGTATTTTGTAAGGGGCTGATTTTTAGTATCTCAGGTAGGATGTTTAGGTTGTAGATGTATCTACAGTGCTGGGTGTAAGGCTCTTCTATACTGCAGGAGGTAGGTTTAAATATTAATCATTTACATAATGATGCTAATTTCTTTTATATCCTTTGGAAGCTTTTACAAACATTAAATATTTAAATCTCATTAAGTTATGTTGCTAAAATGCTAGGGAGATAAAAAAATACAGTTGCATGTAACAGGATTTTTTTGTAACTGCTATGCTGCTGAATCTAATTACAGGCTGCCTCAGGAGCTACTTATGTTGATCAAGTAAGTGAGGGCCAAAGGAGAGTAGAGGAACGAGGACAGGAGGGGAATCCCAACCCATAATCCTCACAGACGTGGTTACTCAGCAACCTATGGACACAGCACATCTGACCTCCCCTTGTGAAGTTTTTGCAGTGCCCTTCATTTGCCTGGTGTTTGGAAATAGCTTCATGGTGTTTGAGATGAACAGAAGTGTTTCCAAAAGATACAGAAACACTTCTGAGAGCAGAGCCAGGCTGGTCCCACAGGTTGCAGAGGAGATTATGGAGACATTGCAGAAGAAGACAGAACTATACACAAGAGCAGTGCGAAGTAGGATCTTGAAACCACAGGACTTGAATTCCCCCATGCTGAGCTGTTTCTCTGTGATGTGATTGATGCTTACCAAGGCATTTGTTGCTCTCAAACATGCCGAGTATCTGGTCACACTTCTCCTTCTGGTTGCCGCTGCTCTCACAGGTACACCACAAGGAGACCTCCACACTGGAGTTACTGACATAGTTGGGTGTCATGGGTGTGCCTGTCCCAAACCCCCGGATGAAAGAAACATCAGGAATCATGTTATACTGAAGGGAATGCTGCCCTGGAGGCAGAAGCCTTCCACTGTGATAAGTGTGTTACCCAGGCCAGGTCAGGACTCCCAGCCAGGTGACCCAGGCCTGATGAACCAGCCTGAAGTCTGCTGGCCTGTGAGAAAGTGTGGAGATTGCTACCCCTGACTCAGGCACTCTGATGGTGAGAGGTACTGGGAACTGAAGCTGGTGGATGCATTAGTCTGAAGGATGGGAAGCACCTGCAGGGGCTCAGCTGTGGTACTGCCATATGGCAGCAAAAGGTGCTCCTGCTCCTTGTGTAGCTGGTAACACTGTGTGGCCAGGTGCCTTTTGTCAAGCAAATACTGCACACCATAGTGTGCCATTCAGCCAGTGTTCATTTAGCACAAAACCAGCAGAGGCATCTGGGAAAATGGAAGGCATAGTCTATATTTACAGCTTCTGAGATACTGCTCCTCTTTACAGCTCCTTTCTTGAGCCACTCTGAAAACGTTGTTGGCAGTAAATAACTCAAACCAAAGACGACCTTCCTTCAAACAGCTGGTAGTGCCATGTTCTGGCTGGCCCTGAGAACACACTGTGCACAATATAACCAACCATCAGGCGTATAAAAGTTGGGCAGTGATGGAATGCAGTGTTTAATCCCTGCTGTGATGGGATGTAATTCCTGCATCAGGAATGACTTAGTTCACACAAGCCCAGAGAGCCCCATTGATGAGGCCCTTAGAGCACTTTGCACCGGCCGATGATGCAAACAGGCATTGAGAAATCTCAGGCAAGTGCTCCTGATTTGGTAACAGAGGATGGGACAAAGTACAGCAATAAATGCCAGGGAAGAGCTCTCTTTGGGTTGCATTTACCTCAGAGGCAAGGGGGAGCACTGGCATCAATCAGTACAGCATATTCCCTGGTACACTGAGCACCACGTCCTGCAGAAGAGCAGGATGGTCCTTTACAGCATCAAAGTGTGCCTGCAAGTTCGTGGCCTGAAAGCATCCACCCTGTATGCTCCTGTGGATATCACTTACCAATCATCCCCATGTAAGCCTGCAGGCATGCAGCATGGTTGTGCAGAGAGCAGCCATCTGGAGACGTGTCTGCAGGTTGACAGTTTTGTTGGAAGTCAGCCAGTCGGGATCTGTAGGAAGGAAAAGGAGACCATCAGTGTCTACGTTGTTTTCCTCTCTTGGCCAACATCCGCTGCTGCCGGACCTACTTGCAGAAAGGGTCCTCTAAGCATAAGTCCAGCAGCCAGAGGCAACTGGGTTTGGTGTTAGACTGGAAGGAACAGTCAGGAACAATAGTTTTCCGGCGTCTTTCTCCACAAAATTCATCCTGACACGGACAGAAGAGGATCCTCTTGGTGAAATCCTCAGGGACTTTCTCAAAGAAGTTCCTCAGCCCCCTGAGGCACTTGCGCCGGTCACACACGTCCTCGCTCCCCGCAGCCCTGGTGCAGGTGGAGGCGTAGTCTGTGCGCAGACGAACACACTTCTTGCTCAGATTACAGACATGACTTTCTTTCAGGCATGGGTTTGTTGCATCTCCTGCTAACTGTGAGCCTATAAAGCCATAAAAAAACATAGAAACCATGAAAAAAGCCCCAAGAAGAGATTCTGTGCAGAAGCAGGAATAGCCCTTTCTTGATGGCCAGATTTGGAACATCAAAAAGAACAAAGCAAATCAGTCCTTCTGTGTGCCTGCAGTATGACACTGTAGTTATATTAGTTACAAAAGAAGATTTTTTTTTTATTAGTTCGTGGTAGGGTGCTTGTTTCCGAAAATTGATCATTGTGGGTTATTCCCAGTTTTATGGGCCTGGATCTGTGGCTGTATTCACACTTGATAGTGGGGACAAATTTAGGCAAGTATCCAGAGCAGGTATTCCTCTGATTAAAGGGGCCATTACCCCAAATTGTTCCTAATAACCTTCAGCCTCTGAAAAGGTAAGAGAGGGCAGCATTATATCATGTAACCATTACAATTTTTACCTGATACCAGAGCTGCCAGTTTATTATAATCTGTCTTCCAGTGTTCTTCATTTGCTGGGTTCTCATAGGGAGAGGTCTCCAAATGGAAATAACCTAGGCAAGATACAAGATATTTCATGCAGTGGAAGAAATGCTTTGTGACCAGTTTGCTTATTTATTTGTTTGTTTGTTTATTCTTAAATGGGTATTTTTCTCATTTATGCCTAGCTCTTTCCTCAGGCTGGAGTTCAGAGGTGCTCTGTCTTGCTCAGATCCAAATGCCAAGAATGGTTCTGCTGGAAATGCAAAGGTACTAGTGTGTAAACCCAGCATTACATTTTGTCTGGCTGGAATTTGGTCTAAGTCATCTGGCATTTCCAGCCTCAGTACAAGTGAGGAGCTGAGCAGCACAGAGAGGCTTTGGTGAGAGGTCAAGTAGGAGCATCCCACTAAAAAAAACAGCAGCACATTCAGGGATGCCATGACACTGTGTGTCATAATCACAAGTGCCTTTCAATGATGGACAGATAGAACCATTTTGAGGTATTTTTTACAGCGCTAAATTTAACTGCCTCAGAGTAGCTGCCTTTGTATCTTAGAGTCCCTGGTGTATTTGAAGGGCTGGTCCCAGACCAGACCAGTTTTCCCTGCTTATCAAACACAGCAGTAAATTCTCTTTACTAGATGTTCCAAAGCAATACCTGCAGTGTTGGGAAGTGGCCTTTCCCAGCTGTTTTCAGATGGGGGGCAGGGGTAAGCCTTGCTAGTACCTTGTAAATTCCTATTATTTCATCTCACCATCTGTCATGCTGGAGTGAACGGTCCAGAAGACACGTAAGCAGTGCTCCTGTCTCTTCATGCGCCGGTGACACTTGCAGTGCAGCAAAGAGCTGTTCCCAAGGTCCAGCTCTGCATTCAGACATCTGACCCTGCTATCGTGATCCAGTGGAAGGAGGCGAGTCTTGGCCAGGGCACAGTTTTCCAGGATCCTGTACGTGGCATTGCAGGTGGAGTCCGAGAGGCACAGCCGCTCTGCCACGACACAGTCACTCCTGGGCAGAGCCAGGAGGTCTCCTGGTCGAGTGGAGAAAAGATTGTTAGGACCCCAGTCAGGATGAACGCCACACAAGCACCTTGTCACTGTTCTGCAGGGATCCTTTCCGAAGCAAGGCCTCCACGTGAGAGGCAGAACTCGTTGGGGTCTTTCACGTGGAGTAGCAAGGAACAAGAGCTTTCTCCACTCAGAAACAAAAGGATGAGTATTTATGAAAGAGGCAACAAAAGGTCAAATAAAATTCTCAAAAATAATTTTGTTTAATAAAACCTTTTTTTGTCACCCTTAACTCTTTCAGCTTGGCTCTGTATTTTATGGAGCAGTAAATCCCCGTGAAGCCTCGGGGTTGCTGAGGCCTGCTTTGAAGAAGCTCTTCTATCTGAGCAGTGAAAACCGCAGTGCAATAAGCACATAGTAACACCATACTGTGTGCTGTGAGTCAGTGCTGCTGCAATTACTGAAGTATATGCTGGTCATTAAGAGATGTACTGAGAAAGCCATTTATAGGGTGTAAAAACAACCACTTTACTGAGCTTGAAAATATAAGGACGTGTATTTTTTGCATAATAAAACGAATCCTTAACATGAGATGCAAGTAGCTTCATCTAGAAGTGCTGATATGCAGTCATTTTAAGTATTTAAAACACAGTCCCTGAAATCCCTGCCAAAAATGCAGATGAAGGCTTAGCCTGCCAGCTTTCACCTGTTGGCTGATTGTAAACCCTTGCCTATATCTCTGTGTGTACATATATTTGTGTGACACATGCATTGATTATATATATATACAGACACGTGCTACCTTATGTAGAAGTATTAAATAATCTTAGATTAAACAACATAATCTTTAAAACTAGTTTTTTTCTCAGCTTTTAATTTTTTTTATGGACTGTTGTCTCCTAAGGGGTGATAGCTAACACTGCCATCCAGAGGGACCTGGAAAAACTTGGCAAGCAGGCCCACGAAAATCTCATGAAGTTCAACAAGTCCAAGTGCAGGTGCTGCACATGGTCAGGGCAATCCCAGACATGAATCTGGACTGGAAGATGGACATATTGAGAGCAGCCCCCCAGAGAAGGTCTTGGGGGTTCTTGTGGATGAGCTGGCCATGTGCACTTGCAGCCCAGAAAACCAAACACATCCTGGGCTGCATCAAAATTGGACTGGCCAGCAGGTTGAGGGAAGAGATTCTGCCCCTCTGCTCTGCCCTCCTGAGATCCCACCTGCAGTGCTGCATCCAACTCTGGGGCCCTCAGCACAAGAAAGCTGTGGACACAAAGATGCTCCAAGGGTTGGAGCCCCTCTGCTCTAAAGACGGGCTCGGAGAGCAGGGGGTGTTTAGCCTAGAGAAGAGAAGGCTCTGAGGAGACCTTAGAGCCCCTTCCAGTGCCTAAAGGGATCTTCTAAAAAAAGAGGGAAAGCAACTTTTTATACAGGCAGAGAGTGATAAGACAAGGGAGAACAATTTTAAAATAGAGATTTAGATTAGACATTAGGAAGAAGTTTTTTACTCAGAAAGTGGCAAGGCCCTGGCACAGGTTGCCCAGAGAAGCTGTGGCTGCCCCATCCCTGGAAGTGTTCCAGGCCAGGTTGGATGGGGCTTGGAGCAACACAGTCTAGTGAAAGGGGTCCCTGCCCATGGCAGGGGGTGAAAAGAGATGAGCTTTAAGGTCCCTTCCAATCCAAGTCTTTCTATGATCCTATGATTATGTTGTCACAGGTAGGTGAATTCAGTCTGAAATCTTCCTTCATTTCTGCAGTTTATTAACCTATGTTTACAGTACAAGTACAATGAAGTCTTGGAACAAGACAGTTTGCTAAAACATTATATATAACCTAGTATGTTTCCTCCCTTCAGGTCAATATTGCTTGGCTGGTTTTAAGAAATGACTGTGCTGAGCCTTACATCTACCTTTAATGTTCTTTGGGTACATCATCTTACCCATCATTCTTTGTTCAGCAGGTGCAGTAGTACTATTTCAGTCTGCCTTCACTACAGATTAGGAAAAAATCTTGGTAAGCTCATATTGCCTGATGTACCATCTTCACCATCTACCTTGTTTTCCACTCCCTTCCCTTTTGCTGGCTTCAACAGTTTATTTGCTGTAGGCAGTAGTCTGCATAATTCTATACCAGTCTACTTCTCAAACTTTCTACTTTTCCTACAGTCCAGTAATACTGCACAGGTACCTTTGTCTCATCTGTACAAATTTCTTTATTTTTCTATCAGCTTAATGTACTTTGTAGTTCATCTGGCTCTTACATAGAGACTCAATGACTTTTTAAGCTCCCTGAAAAGTCTCTTGTCAGAAATGCTTTGTACTCAGCACAGTGGGTTTAAGTGAAGCTGCTTTAAACCTCAAACTTAAAACAGACATCATACAATAGCTGTGCATTGTTGTGAACCCTGAAACTTGACAAGTTATTTCAATTTTTTAAATGAAAGTATTCCAGATAACAATGTGAAAGAATAAGAAAGCTAATTCTTTCCTAGACCTATGGTCTAGGTTGCAGAACATGTTAAAGACCACATGGGTATGGGAATCCCTTCCATAGTTAAAAAAAGGTAAAAGGTAACAACCAATTAACAGATTATTATTTATACCTTAGAAAAAAATGGATAGGTAATATAATATATCTTTTTTCTCCCCTTTTCACTCAATGGCCTGTCATATAGATATGTAAATCCAGTTGCCTGTGGTGCACTCTGGTATTGAAAGAGAGGATGATTACAGAAGGGAAACCTTTCTGTAAACAGTTAGCAAAGAAGAATTGGCATTTGAACATGGAAAACCGGGGGGAAATCTATCATAACCATGTGGCTGACAGTGCTACTGAGGTCTGAGTGCAACAGCCCATTTTTTAACAGTCATTGTGATATTCAG